GTTCAACGAGCCCCGCAAGTCGCATCGACAAGCTGAAAAACGAAAAGTGAATTTACCCGAGAAACTACCACCACGAAAAGGTGACGGTGGCCTTACGCAGGCAGACATATGGGTCAGAGATGTCGCGATGAGGATCACGGTAGAAGAATGGTTTGCACATCTCGCAGTTCTTGCCCATCGTGTTGTGCTCGCAATCGTCACAGACGCCACCACTCACGTAGCCAGATGCCTCGTAAACAGCGCGGTCGAAATGGCACTTTGTCGCATGCAGATTGCAGTTGCACACTGAAAACAACAGCGGTAAGGTAACAAAGACTTATACAAATACGAACAGAGAGAAGAACAGTATGATCAGTAACTAGGAACTAACTTTTGCACGCATTTCTTTCGCGGTCAATCGCTGGCTGCCAAGGCAGGTCGTTATAAAAGTCTTGGCATTGTTCGCAATTCAAGCCCTTCGTGTGATGAGTGCACTCGCATCTACCGTAAACCTAAAAAAATACGTACAAGAAAAAGTACCACTGCAATTTATACTCTAAAATATAAATACAGTAAAATTCCGCTATATCGCGGGTTTTGGGGTGACAGAGTGAACAACCATGTTATGGAAAATCGGCGGTATATCGAAAAGTAAAATTTTAAAGTCAAACTATAATCACTGATGTTTTTACAGCCATGATTGCAAAATAGGATAAAAATAACATTACTGTGAATAAAAAATCATAATTTATTTAATCTTGTTTTTTTAAATAGTTCGATATAGCCTTTTCACGCGACAGCTAATGGCGTTTCTTCGTCAGATGACTCTTAATATTTTGCAAATGTGAAAGATGAAGATGATCACAGTCACTCTGGTGTTTCCATCCAATTCATTACTTCGCTTATGCTATGAAATACACTGCTATTTTTTTGAGTCTCAAGTTCACGCGTCATCGTGTGATAAATGGTACTCTCATCGGCTTTTTCGCTGATCTGGACTTCGACTATAGTTTTCTCCTCGTCCTTATAAACAGCGACGGAAGTTTCACCAACGTAACCAACCACAGCCTACACGTCATCTACCTCTATTCCTTCAGCAAGAACATTTGAAGCTTCAAGCGCATCAAATGCGAGACAGTATAGGGGTTCACTTATGAAAGTACATGTAACGTCAAGCCATGTGGAATACTCCGAGGGATGTCAAGACTCATTAATTTGTTTCCGTCATATCTGTCAGCAGCTTGCAGCACTTACTGCTAATTCGAAACAAGCTGTTTAGGTAGAAAATAACGAATCATTTTCGGGGAGACGACTAGAAAAGTGGTATATCAGAATCGGCT